GACAAGATCTTCAAGGTAACCCAGAAGCAAATGTGGGGAATGCTCAGATTCCGTCCGAACAAAAGGCCTCGTCTCCAAATGAATATTCATCTCATTGCTATGGTTTTATGACTCGGATCAAGTTTCGAAGCGCGGTAGCCACATGCATTGAGACGAAGTCAAACGCAATGTTGATCGACTCAGGCGGGGAGGGGGATGGGGCGGCGGGGGGATTTACGGGCGGCTTGGGCGACGGGCGGATTGAAATAATTGGGAAATGGCGGGAGTTTGAAATTTGATCGCGGGCCGCTGGTACGCCGCGGCTCGGCGTTCGCGCGACTGCCGTTGTGGCAGGGCGTGCTCGGGTTTTTGAGGTGACACGCCGCGGGTGACACGTGCGCTTGCTTCTCCCTCAAGTTGAGGGAGAAGGCCTCAACTATGCCCAGGTTTGTCCTGTGGATCACAATGGCGGGACACGTTTCAAGTGTATAATGTCAACGACAAGGTTATCTCACTGCAGTTGTTGCATGTGGTTTGAAGAGGGTCTTAGCTCTGTTGTAAATAAAGATGTAAGGTATATGATAAGGTACCCGGTTTGAAGAGGGGATCAGGGGGAGGGGATCAGGGGAAGAGGTTGCGGGGAATAATCAAATTGCATCCTTGGATACTTGCCCTTCTTCACTAGTGATTGGGGACTGCACAAGCTGCGTTGGAGCACAACTCTTAAAATGCTTCCCATCATGAGAGCGTGTCAAGGTGCAGCGTGTCAAGGTGCAGCCGCCTGAGCACGACAAAGTCTACAGAAAATATAAAGCAAAACGCACGACGCGCAGGCGGGGCACCAGCCGCGCGCCCTGGAGCGTCTGTGTGCGGCGGGCACCGTCTGGTTATGATGTCGGCGATTACCTGTCGCTGCGGCATGCGCTCCGCGCGGCAGGGGGCGTGGGCGTGTGAGACGAGCGGGCGCGGCGGCGTCTGTGCGGCGTGCGCGGCGCGGCAAAAAAGGCGAAGAAGCGCGCGTGCAATCGGGCAAGCGTGGGCGGGGGGGGGGACGATGCTGCGTCTGAAGGGTACGTATTAAAAT